ACTCGTTAAAAAAAAAAGCTGAACAAATTAGAAACAAATTTGTTGAAAAAGCTAATATTGAAGTTTCCACAAAAAACTATTAGGAGAAATTTGCATGGCATGAAATGCAGATTTTTTCTCGTATACCAGCTCACAAACCTGATCGCCTGAAATGTTGCACTGAAAGAAGTAGAGATTGGACTGTTCGAATTGGCGATCTGTCATATGGAGTGATGAGAGTAGATTTACAATATTTAAAACGATGGCCCAGGCCGTGTTTGGAGAACTCTTGGTACCAGATTTAATATTGAAAAATATGATTCCAACAGTAAAATTAAAAGTTGGAGGATTAATATTATTGGGATGCTTTTCTGGTAAAAAGTAGGGCATTAGTAAAAGTATCTATTACCTTGATAAAGGAAGAATTTAATTGCAAGGTGTATTGATTTCAAGATGACAATGCTCCAGTCCATACTGTTAGCAATGGATTTTAACTAACAAAATCGAAGTTTGCCAGATTGGCCAAGTCAGTAAATCCAATTAAGCATTTATGGATAGAGTAGAAAGAAGAATAAGAAGCAGACCACAAACAATAAAAAAGTTGTAGAATTAGAGACTGAATTACAGAAGAATGGGGCAAAATTTCACAACTTCCAGTAAGGGCTTTGATAGAACGGAGAATCGAAGCAGTTATTGTGAACAACGGGTGGCCAACAAAATATTGATTATATAGTTACTTCATTGGTTTATAATATGTTATGTTAAAATTTGAGATGTCATTATTATGAGTAATTTGTTTAATTAAAAATTTTGATGTGCAAGACTTTTGTCCAGGTAGTGTATATGAGTTTGGTATGCACAACAGCAAAAGTATAATGAAGATTTGATTTTATTATTGTCACATAGTATCTAATTGTGTAATGATGCACTGGTATGGTGCGCCAGAGTCGTCAAAAGTCTGTATTTTATACATATTTGCTGTATTTAAAATACAGATTTTCTGTATTAAAATACAGTTATTTAATGTACAGATTCTGAAAAAATGCGGAATTTTGTTTATGGTAAATTAAATGATACATTAATTCCCAACAGTTTGGTATTAATTGATACTTTTCCTCCAATCATTTCGTAGTACAAAGTGTACTAAGGTCGCTCTCAACAGCTCACCTCCCCTTCCTGAGAATGGAGGATGGCTAAAGCGGAGTAGAACGTGACCTGATTCTTGCAATTACATTGGTCAAATTTGTATATCAACCAATGAAATTGTAAAAAAACTACTCCGCTTTAGCCTACCCCTTGAAATGGAAAGTGGGAAAAATGACCCCTCAACAGTTAGATTTGACCATTTCCATTTTTGAAAATTGACATAACTCCAATAGTAAGGACTTTATTATTACTATGTTATTATTATTATCATAAGATTTAATATTAATGGCATATGAAAATGCCTTAAATCGGTATCATTAATATAGATCAGCCAAATTTGGTATCCCCCTTCACTAATTCCATCTCCCCTTACACAGATTTCTTTTTTTGTATACACGTTTGCCTCATTTGCTTGGGAGATGATCTGTTGAGAGCGCCCTAAATTTACATTTATGGAAAACTAAATGATATTTTTCGACTTAACTTTATTTAAGAAACGTTATTAGTATTATACGGACTGGTTAACATAAGTTACGGCGACACTAATATAATACGCAGAAACGTAAATGCGAAGGCATAACCTCTTTGGAAAAGTCCGAGTACAAAGATTACAGAACCATTGCGAGGGATTGCGGGTAGCTTTAATAGCAAGAGTGAAAGAACTGTCTGAGAAACATTATATGGACTGCTACGTAAGCTACGGAGATACGCAGAAACGTAAAGACGAAGTCATAACCTCTTTGGAAAAGTCTGAGTACGAAGATTACGGAACCATTGCGAGGCGAGGGATTACGGGTAGCGTTAGGAGCAAGAGGGAAAGAACTGTCTGAGCGAATGACAGGTGAGAATATATGAGAGACAGAGAGAGCAAGAGAGTGTAAGAATAATAAAGCAAGAATGAGAAATCAAAAGAGTGAGAGAGTGAAAAAGTAATTGTGAAATAGCAAGAGTGTGATCACGATAAAGAGAGGAGGTGAACAAAAAAGTGGAATTATTGAGAGTGGTGAACAGTGAAAGGCTGAAAGCATGATTGAAAGACAAGAGAGCAATTGAAGGAAGTAGAGATATGAAAGAGTGAGAATTAAAATAGTGAGCAATTGAAAGAGTGAGTGATTGCAAGAGGAGTGAGGGAGAGCAGGAGAATGAGTTTGGGAGAGCGGTTGGGACGGTGATTGGGACGGTGATTGGGAAGAATGTGAAAAAGAGCAGCGGTGTAAGAGATTGAAAGAGCATAAGAAAGTTATCGAAGAAGCGAAAAGAAGAGATGAAAATTAACATGCCATGGGCATAGAGTTTTGGTTGTTGAGTTGTTAGTGATGTGATTGACGACGAAAATCGATTTACACATTTTCGAAGAATCACTATATGCAAATTCATGCTTAATAGTCGGTGTCAATTCGCGTTTACATTTCTGCAAACTACATTAGTCTCACTGTTAACCGTCCTCGTTATACTAACAGCTAATAATGGATCGAAAAGCGTACGTCATTTTTCCATAAATGTAAATTTAGTACACTTTTGTGCTACGAAATGATTGGATGAAAAGTATCAATTAATACCAAACTGTTGGGAATTAAAAGTATCATTTAATTTACCATAAACGAAATTCCGCATTTTTCAGAATCTGTACTGTATTTTAATACAGACTTTTGACGACTCTGGCGCACCATACAAACTGTTGGGAATTAAATGTATCGTTTAATTACCATAAACGAAATTCCGCATTTTTCAGAATCTGTATTAAAATACAGACTTTTGACGATTCTGGCGCACCATATTACGGCCCATTCTGAGAATTAGCCCATTTCAAGATGGGACAATTACAAAAAAAATTTTATCACAGTAACATACATATATCATACAGGTCTTTAGCTATTTGTTTTTTATAACAAAATGCTTTTGACTATTACTATGTTGTTATCAACAATTAATACAATAAATAGGGCGACAGTTTGGGCTACAAATGCTATTCGCTCTTTTACAACAATCAGTATGAGCACTTTCATTACCGATGCTCTGTAACCTAACTGCTGCTGTTAATGAAATGGTTGTTTGCGGAATGTCTGCCAGTTCACTAAATTCCGCTTGAATGCCTTCCAAGTCAGTTGCATATCAAGTATGCCGACACTGCAACCCAACTTATACCAACCTCCATCTAAAACCTCCGTCACCTTACATGGTAATAACCTAATTTTTGCCTGTCGGGGCTTGGTATTACGATTTTCATACGATTATTCTTCGATACTTTCGGGTAGGCTATAAATCGTATGATTTACAATTTTTGATACTCAATATGGCTATCAACGGTCAATAATACGACTTAACGATCATGCTTTGTCGTACACATTTTCAGGATTATACCAGTTTTGGCAGATTTTTACAATTTATTGGTTGACATAGATATCATTCGATCGACTTAAACAGTACAACTGTATACGAAGCAATTGAGTTAGAATGTATCTCACTAGGCACTGGCACATGTACTTTTGATAATAGTAAGCATCTTAGTCAAACTGAAACCGAACTTCGCTGAATGTGATGAAAAATTTTTTGCAATTGTCCCATCTTGAAATGGGCTGGCCCATTTCGGAATCCTAGAATGGGCCGTAACATTTATATGCAGTAGAGTTAATATGTAATGTTAATAAAATAATTTTATAATGTTGTTACCTGATTGTCTTTATGATTCCAATCTGACATACATGTCCATTCGGAATAGACATAAATTCCAAATGGATTTACAACACAAACCCAATATCCAACAAAATGATTGAGAATACGCTTGACTTTTGATGGATGTGTGTGTTAAGCTTTCTAGTAAGCCCAAACCTTCTCAGGGAGAGTTTGCCGAAGAGTATGAGGAAGAGACTGTTTCCATAAAGAACGTGTTAGAAAGCTTGGATAATGTGTTCAATTTTCTCGTTTATCCACCCACAGGTTTTAATTGCGATGCAAATGCTGTATCAACAGCACGCTCCTTACGAAAACAAGTGCTAACGCACCACGTCAATAATAAAAAACAGTCAATGCTAGACGGTTATGTTACCAGAATGCAGTTTGTGTGACCTAACGGAAGTATCGTTATATCCAGTCTTGACTGTATCCGGGATGGAAATGGGTTGCTTATATATCTTAGCGATACGGAAAATGCGGAATTTTTCTAAGAATAACTAAATAAATTAAATTCAAAGTTAGCTATGGCGTCAGACTTTACCATGTGACTTGCTTATTAATTCATCAGATCGGCTCGCCGTATTGGGATTAGCTTTATTACTTTTATAAGTAAGCCTTGCTAAATCTCGACCAGAATAATAAATAATACAGAATTGACTATACAAAAAGAATGAGAAGATTACTTTAAGGTGTGATAAACGTATTATATGTAAACAACAGACATTATTATAATTGTCACAAACTTGATGGATAATTGTATTTGAGTTTTAAAAGCACTGGAAGAACCGCCATTGCCAGATACACCATTCCCACCACTAGTGTTATTTCCACTGCTACTACCATTACCACTGTTGTTACCATTATTATCATCAGGAGAAGGATAAGAAGGGGGAGGATTAGGCGAAGAAGAATTAGACGGAAGTGGTTTACTACATTCATTATTAAGAAGACATTTTGTGCCATTGGGACAACATTTGCTGCTATTTTGACATGCAAACTGTCCACTCGCACAATTGTTGCCACAAGTGTAATTAGGAAGACATTGCATGCCATTGGGACAACATCCACCACCATTATCTGGGCATAGAAACTGTCCGCTTTCGCAACTACCTCCAAGTGGGCTACAAAATGAACCAGGGGCGCAAACCTGATGAAAGTAGCAGCAACCATTGCCACAAGGTATATCAATAGCAGTACACGGAATGTCGCAGCCGTCAGATAGGCATGTCACGCCTTTAGGGCAACAACCGTTTCCGTCTGCACATGGAACGTAGGTTGGATCGTCGCAGGTATTGACGTTTGCTAATACGGAAAATTTGGCATATGTACCATGGTCAAAATTCGTGACGTAAGATTTATTTTGTAGCCGAGAATTCTTGACACCTGATCTACTTTTTGGCCCATATGATATCGTAAAAGCACAAGTTATAGCGGCAAGAGCGAGTACCAATGTGAGGCTCTTCATATTAAAAAGTCAAGCAGAATTTGGTGATGCCATATTCTATGTAAAATCACGTTTAGATGCACTTTTAAATGTTTACATTTGCAATGTTGTACGCTTTCGTGAAACGGAGTATTTACGCCGTTGAATTTCTCTTTCTGGTCAATGCAGCACCATATATATTGAAACAAAAAGCCAACTGTTATCTAATTTAAAACTAAGGTGCGACAAATAGTGCGCCTAAAATCAAGGATCATACACATACACAATAAAATGAATCAAGTGAATGGTTTTCTCATTTGAGTTCTAATCTCCTACAAAGAACGCATATGATCGGCAAATTTCACCATCTCTTTCTGTTCGTTCTGATTTTTTATTTCTTTACAGACATTCGGGCTTATACAACGCAAGTGTACGATGACCCCGGCGATCTTTCTTTCTTTCCATATCTCGACAGCGTTATGAATGGTTTTACGTATCCAGACGGCACAGGGCTGATGCAATTGCTCCCTATGAACCATACTGACAACAATTTGTATATACGTCTAATACATCCAAACGGCACGTTGACGAACTTCACTGTGCCGCCGCCAGTGTTCAATGCTCCTCATTACACACAACGTGCTTATCCACTTAATGACGGATATGCGTTTGTAGTTCAGACAAACAACGGAGGTGCGCATGGAACGTTGGTTGATTGGAGTGGGCAGGTGTTACAACTGTAAGCGTTATCTTGGTAATTGAGAGAGTAACCAAAGAGCAAATGCAAATGTCAGTGTGGAATTATGTATTTTGGTATTCACTGTAGTGATGTGACGCTCACTGATAATCCTGTCGATGATTATACGACACTTGCGAAAGCCAACGTCAACCCGAATAAGGACTTTCTTGTAGCTACTAGAGAAGGGAATGCAGTTTCATGGAAAATTTTCAGTGCACCGTAAGTATACAAAATTTTTGCAACCATTCAACGATTTAAATATCGGTTAAACCTCTTTACTTTGCAAAAAACAGCGATAGCTCGGGTCAAATAACCCTGTTGTACAGAGGCAATATCACGGGAAACGATAACGGTGACAAAATTCTGATCGATCACGAAATCTTTCCCACAACAGAAGGTGGCTATGGCGTAGCCCTTTTAAAACGTATGACGACATTCACTCAGGTCTCTGAAAAATTCTACTCTTCTCCACAATGGCTCTTATATGTTACATTCTGGCAACCTGGTTCTCCACAATTCGACACGCCTCGTCTAATATGGCAGCACCCCATTCCACTCCGTAGTAGTCTCTTTAAGATAAGTGGGTGCGAAGTGGCTGTCGACGGAACAGGATACTTTTGTATTTTACACGTCCCTACTTGGAATTACGTGCGAGTGGCATTCCTATCTGATGGTTCTGTAACTGATATCAACGTGATAGTCAATGTTACAAGTGGTGTAGCTAAGACGGCAGTATTTGGAGTACGGCAACTACCATATGGCGGATTTTTGGCATTAGAAGCGATCATGACTATAATTACCAAATTTAATGCAACTGTCAGGAATAAAGATGGAGCAACCAACCAGACCTTTCGGTTGCCAGACATTAGCTTCAGTGACCTTCAGTTGCCAGACATTGTCATTGGTGATTTTGCAGTATTTCCAAATAACACCATGTGGCTAGCACATAGGGAAGGGTCAACAATATCCATAACTCTTATTCCTCTTCCCAAACTTTTGCAAGAAGGTGAACTAATACTTACTATACTAACTAAATATAGAACTACTAATCACATGTATTATTTTCAATAATTACTTTTCAGATGCTGGATTCAAGAACCTTCTTGTAAGTTCATCAACTCCATCATCAGGTTTGTTTGTGTCCTCAGATACTACAAACATTACACTGACATTTAGGAATCAGGTCACTCTTTCAGTGCAAAACATTTCAATATACCAAGAGACAGGTGGGAGTCTTATTCTTAGGCAGGGATTTAGTGCAACATCTGGTTATTGTAAGGTTGTGTTAAACGACTTGGCAGTTACATGCCAAATATTCAAGAGTACTTTCAACCAACCTGGTGCTAAGTATGATATTGTTGTGGATAATGATTTTGTAATGAGTAAGAGTTTGAGACAACCACTTAATGGAGTAGGAGAGGGAAATTGGGTATACTATTATAGAGGTATGCAGTTAGAAAACGGTTGATGTTCTTCTCTCTTAACTTTTGAATAACTGTTTGCTTATCAGTAATTTGTATTTACTAGCCACAACTGAAGGAAAATATACAGGTAAAACATCATATGATTTATAAATGTATACAAGCATAGTTTTATTTGTCTAATGTATGTAAATAGCTACCACAACAGGTCTACTAAGGTTGACACCTAATGGAACGGCTTACTTTGAACAATTATCTACTGATGAAAAGAACTCTTTTATTGACTCTTTGATTGAAAAGCTTGCTAAGCTTATCCCTATTGATTCATCACGTATAACCACCAACAGACACAACCAACCTGATCCTGATGCACCAGCTCATCAATTATTGTTTCCAGTCACTATCAAGTCAAGTGATGATCACTCACAAAGAACAGTGCAGCAGATTATTGGTGATCTTGATGATCTAATTAAAAATAAATATTATAATTCGTTTTCACGAGAGAATTTTACTAGCCACCTAGATGAACAGTATGGGTTTTCACATAAAGGTATGCAAATTATGAGGTTTAAGCTACTATTGTGTCAAATGTTATAATAATAATAACAAAAACTAACACATTAACTTGCATAGCCAATTTGTGGGAAACTTACAAAATTAAACTAATTGTATTGCTAGCTAGTCTGTTGGTATTGTTAATGATTTATTTTTTTGCAAGATGGAAGTATCCAGAGGTGAGCTATTCTTGTATACATTAATACTAATACTATTGAGTATGTTTTATTGCCAACATTTAAACTAATACTTCTTTTACAAAACGTCAGGGTCAAAGCTTTGTTGTCATAAAACTTGCACTAATAGTTGCAGATTTGAGTCTTGACATAGCATTCGTACTCTTGAGCGCGAAAAATGTTCCGGTATTACATATACCAAGGTATTACCATTTAGTTTATAATTATTGTTTGATCCCATCAAAATATATTCACAGTATGCAATTTTGTTCTATTTTCAGTATAATGTGTTTAATAGTTCCTATTACCTTCAATTCTGGCCTGGCATTCTCAATCTTAATGAGAGAGATAAATAAAAACATTAAATTTCAGGAGTGGTTTAGCCAGAATGTAAGAATAGTTTCAGCACTCACTCTGCTAGCAGGCGCAGATGTTGAGGTTATCACTTTACTTGGATCCAAATTTGCTGGTTTGAAAATGTTTTCCGCACCTCTGTCAAAAACTGTACTGAACCAGGTTTTCTGGGGTGGCACACTGAATTTGTTTATTGAAGACGTCCCCCAATTGGTTATTCAGGTATGTGAAAATAATGTCATCAAATCAGAATGATACAAGTTTTACATGTTAATTTATTGAATTCATCGTCCTCCACAGATTCTGTATAGACATCTAACAGTCTCATATAATATTATTCCATTCTTGTCATTGATAATGAGCTCCATCATCTTGGCTTCAAATATTATTGGACATGTCTATGGTGTATATATAAGATGGAAAGAAAAGAAACAAGGCCACAGTATACCAAGAGATGAAATATCTGTTACTGATGATGTAGATGTACAGGAGAATGAATGAGAAAAAGCAATTGACATATTTTTCTGAGAGTAGAAAATGCAAGTATATTCTATTCTTGTCATTGATAGTGAGCTCCATCATCTTGGCTTCTAATATTATTGGACATGTCTGGTGTATATATAATATGGAAAGAAAAGAAACAAGGACACAGTATCCCAAAAGATGAAATATCGATCACTGGTAATGTACAGGAGGAGGATGAATGAGATAGACTGATTATGATATTATTTATTGTTATCTATTTCAGGAAATGCATGTAATCAATATAGTGGTCATCTAACATGGATTGTTTTTCCAAGAGTAGATATTGCTATGTATATTTCTGTGCACCTCTAAACCCTCCCTTGGTAACTCTATGATGCTTTTCCAGTTACAGAATCTTCTCTAACTACAATTAATTGCTAATATTTTAACTTTGTATTAATTATCAATGTCACTAGTCAATGGTTTTATAAAATATTTTTGCAGTTAAATCTCGTATAACTAAATTTTTAGTTTGAGTATTTTGTCTCCATACAGTATAATTTGTCATCGAGAGCTTTATTTAAAGCTGCTTATTAAATGCATTGAATGATCTCAAGACGTCACTGGAGATTGAACCAAATGACGCATATGCGTTGAGTATGAGGGAAAAAGTTAATGAAATACTCAAGCATTATAATACAGATAGATGCAGTAGGATGCAAAAGTATCCCACCACTTCTAATTCGGGACACGAATGAGTAAACGCTTGAAAGTTTCCCTGTATATAGTGTATTATAAACCCTGATCACTTGTAAAATTTCAGCTTGATCGGATGTCCCCAGTAAAAATTTATAAACATGCCTCTAAAACATATGAAAAACAGATAAAAACATATAAAAACCCTACATCGCTTGTCTCAACATATACTTCAAAAATACATATCTCCACATGTTTCTAATCGATTTGCGCGATATATTTTTTGTTTTGTTTATCAAATCAATTTTTACGTATTTCTTTATATTGGGGTTCGCTATTATACTTGGCAAGACACGTGAATGATATTTATAAGTATCATTATGCCGCACGATTGTTTGTATTTTGTAGTAGCGATCACACAGTAATTTGTTCTAAAATTACATAAATGCAATTTGATGGTGTTAAACTCTTACGACAAACCCCGAAATATGTCATGATAAAAACTTTTGGTGCGTAGAATTTTGCTGGAGACATCCGATCAAGCTGAAATTTCACAGGTAATTATACACTATACGTGTATACAGCGAAATTTTCAAAGCGTTTACTCATTCGTGTCCCGCATTAGAAGTAGTGGGATAGATACTTTTGCATGCATCCTCAGCGAGCGTCACTGCTTAAATTATTATGGATTAAATAGTTGCTAGGATAATTCGAACATTGTGACCATATCCTGATATTAATTTGCATTGTCATCAATTAAAAGACAGTTCAAGAATGTGCATTAATTATTACCATTGTTAGTAAGTAAACTGATAGAATAAAATGTCGTAGTATAGTACAAGTAGGTTTGGGATTATCGTTCCGGGACACCTCAACATATCCCAAAAGTTGGAGTAAATTGGCTCATTTTTTTTATAGACAGTTTGAATAACTTCAGATTTTCGGCAAATCAACAAATTTGCTTTCTTACGTATGCATACATGATGTTGTTTGCAAATAATAATTTGCTGTGCCTTATTAAGATAACGGTTACAGTATTCGATACAAACTGTTACACGCTTGGCGCCAACATGCCCCATTGGTATAATGAAGCAATACTATATTACTTTCTCCTTGCGAGGTTAATATCATATACACTAGACAGAAGTTCATATAATCCGGTAACGACTCACAATTAAGTAAAATACTATCTTGTTAAGAGAAACATTTGTCTTCACCAACGATCACTCTTCGAAAACTGCTCCAGATATCTCACTGATTTCATCAATTTCCCAAACTTTCGCTTAATCAATTCTTGTTATTGATAAAATTGAGTTTTACACACGTATGTGCAGTGTCCGAATCCTATTTTCTTTAAGAAACTGTTCCTTTTCAAATGTCTAAACTTGAAACTTTTTATTTAATTAAAAATAAAAAACTATAAATTTATTTTGTTTCTGATTCTTACGAATTAGCTTTATCTACACACCACTTTCTATTAAGTCATTGCCTAATTCATCCATTCACTTTGCAAATTCGTGTATATAAAACCTTGGGACGTTAAAAGTTAGGCATTTATTTCGAGTTTACCATAGTTCGTTTCGATTCTAACTGGTAGTCAGTAACACAGCTTATAGTAATAGGTAACAATAGGAAACATCAATAAAATCTGGGACGATCTTGATCCTTTTGCTCTGTTACCAAATTTTACTGCGCCACACACCATTTTTCTTTGCTTAATATCGTCTTAAATAGCAGAGTTTAGAGGAAAACAAGGACATAAATGGCCTCTAAGGCCAAAAAAACATATAAAAAAGTGCCTTCTTATGCAGAAGTCACTAAAACAGCAGTTGAAAAGAAGACTTTCTTCGAGTCAGCTGTCTGTAATCTAACCTTACCCCCAAATGTGCCTCACAAGCGCATTCCTAACACTAATGAAGAATTTTCCTTCTTCATAGATTTAAACAGCACTAATGCTACTGAGGAAGAAGTAGCAAAAGCAATAACCATCAATGGTATCCTTGGGGTTGGTCCTAGAAGCGACCTGAAAGTTGTGGAGTTTATCTGCAAGGATGAGGAAACTGTTGAAGTTGCCCTGGGAATGACTTTCCAAGTCAAGGGCAAGAAACCTTTTGTTGCTATTATCCCTAGACATAAATGCAACAAATACATCTTGGTCAAGCTATCAAATGTCCCCATTGCCAAGGAAGAGTGGCTGAAGACCAAACTTGAAGAGCACTGGAGCCAATATGGCAGAATTATCGGCATTGCTCCATACAAGTTCCCTGGAAAAGAGTGGCTGACAAAGCGCTGGGATCTTGTAATCCAACTCAAAGCCGGAGAGAAGAAACTGGCAGCCCAAACGGTGTTCACTATAGGGGAAAATAAGCAGAGCATCGTCGCCAGCTGGCCCGGAGCAGCAAAAACCTGCCTTGTCTGTAAACTTGCAGGGCACTCTACCTCTCTCTGCCCTCAGAGAAATCTGAAATCAAAAAAAGTTGGGGCATCGGCAAACCCCCGACAATTGATCAGCAAGGGAGGACAAAGCCAAAAGAAGGAAGAAAAGGGACCAAAAGTTTCCATGGGTCCCTCAGAGAAACAGAAGGCCCCCCCTTCAATTGCACCAGCCATGCTAATTCCTGACCCTGATGGAGCCACTTTCCAAGCCATGTTATTGGCCCCTAAGCCCCGTCCAGCTGCAGCAACAACATCAGCAATGGAAGGAGTATATCCTTTCAATCCAGA